GAGATTCTTCCTTTATTTCTTTCCAAAATTTCGTCGCCACAGGGCATGTCCACCACAAGTGAAAATAGCTTCCTACTTTGGTTTTACACTTCCAACAGGTGTTTTTATATCCCCGGTACATTAAGCTAAGTTTTTGCGGTGTCATATACCACCTGTGGAAACACTTGAGCCAGTTTTCTTTTAGCGAAGTAGAACGTGTCCAGCTCTTTAAGCCGCTCCTCGTAGGGCTGGTTCTCCAGACCGTTGATCATTTTAGTCTGGAGCCTCTACCCTCAATCTTGTCTTCAGTTTTTCTCTAGCCTTGTTAGCACATTTTTTATGTGCAAAGCATCCCGTTTCTTAATACGGAAAGGCTGAGCACTTGCTGCAGACTCTCCGAGGCCGTTCCCCTGACCCTTCTTTCAGGAGAAGCCCCCAGAGGGATGGAGAATGCTCCCCTCCGCTTACATTATTCAAGCCCAGCATTCCTGCACTGAGGAAGGAGGGCAGGAGAACTAGGTCACCGCAGTGGTAAGCGAAAGTGTAATCGGGGCAAAGCCGGCTGGTTTGCTTCCTCCAAGTTTCAGTGGTCAGAAGCCACGCTTGATATACCATCTGGGAAGTATTTTCATCCAGTTTTCTTTTAAGTCCGATAAATAGGTATGTTTTATTTTTTTTCGTCCAAATCTATTGCCATTCCTGTAGTTTTATTTGTCTACCAATGTTTTTTGCCCAATTTATTGTACAATTTTTATTTCCTTACGTCTCTGTAGCCCATTCTAGGAGTTTGTCATAAATTTTTGTTACGTTTTTCTTTTCTGGGACCCATTGAACCTGAACCTGTGAGTGTGTTTCGGTTTCCTGATGTGTCTGATGTGGGTCATGAGGATGGAAATCAGTCCTCTGTTGCTTCTGATGTGGGGGATGCTGGGACTGACTCGGAGGTGCAAGATGGAGACACTTTGGTCAATGAGTTTCATGCAGACAATGACAGAGAGGCTTCGGTGCAAAGGGCAGATTCTCATGAGAATGTTTCTGTCAGGCCTTGGAAGGAAGGTTTACTCCCTCCGCCTATGAGCTCTTTAGATTTTAGTTTGGAAAACAGTCTGACACCTGGGAAGTTAATGAGGAGTCAGATAAGCAGAGTCGGCATCTGGAGATTAGGCATCTGGAAGAGGCCCAATGTTTACGTAGATCCGAAAGAATTCGTCAAAGAATGGGGAAAAACTAAACCAGTTTTTGGGATTTAAAGTGTTTCTGTAGAAAATCTTGTCAGATCAAGCATCATTTGGAAACCAAGTAAAAGCCTCATGGAATTCCTGCTCAAGTGGTCTCACCTTCATGGATTTTTCTAGCCTTTCCAGGTGACTAGCAGCGTCCTGTCTGTTCTTGCTTCTTGTTTGATTCCTGTCTAGATATCATTGCCTTGGATTATATTCACATGCTTTTTGGATATTGCTTTTGATTGGTACATTTGGACACTTTTATCTGGCTGCCTTTGAATGCTTTATCGCTTTTTGGAATGCCATCTATCGTTACAAGCATATATTTCTACTGGCTTTTTTGTTAAGCTTTAATAAAAAGGATTGTTCTTCCACTCAACATGTGGTATGTTTTAGTCAAAGGGGCTATTTCCTGTTCTGGAGTGCAACATTTACTAATTGGTCCCAAAATACCTCTTTGTCATTAAATTTAATTGTTTTATCCTGTTTATATATGTCCCTTATTTGTAGATATTGGAGCCATGTTAGATTTTCATATTCCTTGGCTAATTCATCTTATGATTTTAATTCAAGATTATTATTACTCTTTTTTAACAGGTCTCTCTATAGGTCGGCCATGTCCTCCATCTCAAAAGTCACCTTTGTTACGCCTCTACCGGTGAGAGCCATGGGGTGTGTGTGTGTGTATAAAATATCTTATGTATTTGTCCCAGACTTTTATAAGGGCTGATCTAATAAAATGATTACCATTTTTTTTCAATCTTTGTTTTTCCATACCAGATGTATGAGTGCCAGCCTACTCTCAAGTCAAATCCTCCCAGTGTCAATATTTTTGACCCAAATTAGAGTGCAGGCTTCAAAATAGCATTTGAAGGCCAAAGCCACCTCTATTTTTCTTATCCATCATAATTTTAAAATTTTTTCTTGGCTTCTTGCTATTGCATATAAATTTGGATATGTCTTTATTCCAAAGGCAAAATATTTTCAAATTTCATATTATAGGTAAGTTTTGGAAAAGATGTAATCGTTTCGGGAGTGTGTTCATTTTTATTATAGCTATTCTTCCAAGGAGGAATAAATTTAAGTTTTTCCAATTCTCTTCGTAATTGTTTTTGAAGAGTTGTGCATTTTTTGCTGTTAACTAAATTCCTAAGTATTTAATTTCTGATCTCATTTGGAAGCCTGTCTTGTTTTGTAATTCTTCTTGTTTACTTTTGGACAAAATTTTTGTTAGTATCACTATCTTTTTTCTATTTCATTTAAATCCTGCAACTCTCCCAAACTCTTCCAGTTTATTTAACCAATTTTGTATATTTTGGTTAGGGTCTTCAACTGTGCAGATGACATCATCGGCAAATGCTCTTGTTTTATATTCATGTTTGGCTATTTTTATGCCTTTCACCTCTGAGTCTTCTCTTATGGCCTTTAAAAATATTTCCATCAACAGTATGAATATTAGTGGGGAGAGTGGGCAGCCCTGGTGGGTTCAATTGCTAATTGAAAATTTCTCAGTTAATTGATCGTTTATTTGTATTCTTGCTTTTTGGTTGGAGTAAATTGCATTTATTGCATTTTAAAATTGAAAGCCTATATCAATTTCATCTAATAGGATTTTTTAAAAATCTCAATTCACATTATCAAAGGCTTTTTCTGCATCTAATGAGAGAAGTGCAAGTTCTTTTTGGGCATTAGTATCATAGTATTCTATTGTATCAATGATTGTTCTTAGATTATCTTTTACACTTCTATTTGGAAGGAATCCTGCCTGTTCATCTCCAATCCAGTCTTTTAGGAAGTTCTTTAATCTTTTGCGAGGATATTTGTAAAAAAATTGTAGTCAGTATTCAAGAGAGAAATCAGCTGGTAATTTTTTACATCCAAGGGGTCAGTTGAGTCTTTTTTTAATCATTACAATTTCTGCCTCGTTCCATGAGTCAGGTATTTCTTTTGTGTGGAGGGTTAAATTCATTCCTTTACTTGCAACCATTCTATTAATGGCCTTTATTATTTCCTCATCTGTTATATCTTCATTTAGTAATTCTCTTTGCTCTTCCGTGATTTTTTGTAACTTTTGTTATGTCAGGTATTTTACTATTGACTCCTCTGGAATTTGATCTTTAATGTAAAGCTGCTTATAAAATTTTTAGAATTCTGTTTGTATCTCCTTATCTGTGATAAGTATCTTGTTTCCCCCTTTTTTTTTGTTATTTGTTGTGCTTTTTTCTTTTTTCTCACTTTTCTTGCCAGCCATTTTCCTGGCATATTGGCATTTTCAAAAGAATATATGTATGTATGTGTGTGTATATATATATATGTGTGTGTGTGTGTATATATATATATATGCTTTTGATTCTAATTCTAAATGGTGTTTTCTTTTCTTTAAGAAGGACCATTTTACTTCTATCTTTTGGTTTTATGGGTCTCTCTTAAGAACTCTCTCATTCTCCTCAATCTGTCTTTCTAGGTCTTTTAATTCCTTGTTTTTTATTTTGTTCTTCATAGCATTTTGCTGGATGAGGTGGCCTCTCATTACTGCTTTAAGTGTATTCCAGATTATTTGCACCTACACTTGTCATTGATACTAAAAAAACATTTATTAAGTTTTTGTTTTTCTTGATATCCTGTTTTTAGTAAATTGTCATTTAAATGCCATTTCCATGAGTATTTTTTCTGATTAAATATTATTTCTAGGGGGATTTCTTCTTTAACATAAGTTAGTACCCCTCTCTTCTTTGCTAAGTGTGATGAGGAATATTCCTTACACAGTTTTTTTGTGTGTGTGAGGTGCGCGACATGTTTTTGGGAGATATGAGTCTTTTGAAGAGCCACTATTTAGTATTTGCCTTTATTAATTTGTTGATATATTATTTTCCTTTTATTAGGAGAGTTTAGCCTGTTTACATTTGATGAATAGCATTTCAGTTGGGTTGTTGTAGGTTTTTTCAGGCTTTATGGCCATGTTCTAGAGGCATTCCCTCCTAGGATGTCAAGGTCTATTCCCCACAAACTCCATCTGTGTTCATATTTAGGCATATTGAATATTTGTGTCAGGTTTAGTCTGGATCCATCATTGTTTGAATCTAGTGCTCTCTGGATGTAGGTGAACTACAACTACCAAACTGAAGGTACAATACCCACCAAACCCTTCCATTATTTTATGTTGGTCATGGGAGTTCTGTGTGCCAAGTCTGGTTCAATTCCATCTTTGGTGGAGTTTGGAATGCTCTTTGATTGTAGGTGAACTATAAATCCCAGCAACTACAACTCCCAGATGAGAAAATCAATGCCCTACAACCCCACCAATATTCGAATGTGGACATATCAGTATTTGTGCCGAATTTGGTCCAGTGAATGAAAATACATCCTGCATATCAGATATTTACATTTTGATTCATAACAGTAACAAAATGACAGTTGTGAAGTTGCAATGGAAATAATGTTATGGTTGGGGGTCACCACCACATGAGGAACTGCATTAAGGAGTTGTGGCATTCGGAAGGGTGAGAAACACAGGTTCAGAAATAATAAATAACAACCATGAAACTGAGGTACTGCTGCCATGACCATTTGCAAAGTTAGACTGTCATCGGTCACTTCTGGGAACTTATGAGCTGAAAACCACACCAGCCAAAGTAGCTCCAGACCTTCTCCCTTTGTGAGCGTGGATCCCAAAATGTTGCCAAGGGGGGAGTCATTTTGGACTAATGGAAATGCTCCAAAGCAAGGTGGGGAAGGGGAGGGGGCTGTCTGAGTGTGCATTTCAGGGCAAGGCAGGGCTCAGTTCCTTCCTGTCCATACTGAAGGGAGTGAAACTAGCACCAACCACTACAAGGCGGCTGCAGAAGGCTGAGAAGCAACTGTAAGTATTCCAGATGCTTTGCAGGTTGCAAAAATATTCCGTTTCCTGAGCTGGTCCTGAACTTAAGATTTCTGCTTCCTTTGGTGTAAAACAAGCACACCCAAAATGGTTGTTTCTATGTCTTGTCGAAGGCTTTCATGGCCAGAATCACTGGGTTGTTGTGAGTTTTCCAGGCTGTCTGGCCATGTTCCAGAAGCATTCTCTCCTGACATTTCACCGATATTTATGGCAGTCATCCACAGAGGTTTGAGGTATATGGGAAACTAGGCAAGTTTATATATATCCGTGGAAGTCCAGGGTGGGAGAAAGAACTCTTGTCTGTTGGAGGCATGAATGTTGTAATTAATGTTGTAATCAATCACCTCAATTAGCATATCTCTCTTGAATTGTGGTGCCCAGAATTGGACACAATATTCCAGGTGTGGTCTAACCAAGGCAGAATGGGGAGCATTACTTCCCTTGATCTAGACGCTATGCTCCTATTGATGCAGGCCAAAATCCCATTGGAGAACAAGCCCTATGAGGAGCGGCTTAAGGAGCTGGGCGTGTTTAGCCTGAAGAAGAGAAGGCTGAGAGGAGACATGATAGCCATGTATAAATATGTGTGAGGAAGCCACAGGGAGGAGGAGGGAGCAAGCTTGTTTTCTGCTTCCCTGGAGACTAGGACGCAATGGAACAATGGCTTCAAACTACAAGAGAGGAGATTCCATCTGAACACGAAGAAGAACTTCCTGACTGTGAGAGCCGTTCAGCAGTGGAACTCTCTGCCTCGGAGTGTGGTGGAGGCTCCCTCTTTGAAAGCTTTTAAACTGAGGCTGGATGGCCATCTTTCAGGGGTGATTTGAATGCAATATTCTTGCTTCTTGGCAGAATGGGGTTGGACTGGATGGCCCACCAGGTCTCTTCCAACTATGATTCTATGATTCTATTGCAAAGCCTTGCAGCTTCAATGCCTGGCTGTTTCCACACTTAATTGCAACATTCACACTTGCCTCCAACAAGTAGTTTATATATCTGTGGAATCTTTGTTTATATGGCATTTATATGTCTGTGTACCATTCAAGGTTGAGGAAAGTGTCACCTCCCAACAAAGGATTCCCCCAGGGAGGTTCTCATCTGATCCGTCCTGATTTCTGTCATGGATTTCTGAACAGTGGGTTGTTGTGTGTTTTCCAGGCTGTCTGGCCATGTTCCGGAGGCATTCTCTCCTGACGTTTTGCCTGGATTTATGGCAGGCATCCTCAGAGGTTGTGAGGTCAGGTTGGAAACTAGGAAAATGGGGTTTATAGATCTGTGGAAACTCTGAAAACGAACAAAATCTGACTACCAGTATTTAAAAACTTCAAAATCATAACAGTAAATAAAGAACAATACTCAAAAACAGAAAAATTCCAGGCAAGAAACAATCATGGCCAGCTAATCACCTCCCAACAAAGGATTCCCCCAGGCAGTAAGAAGCCAGACCTTGAAACTGCAAGGCCATTAAATGCTAATCAAGATGGCCAATTGAAACATTAACTCTTGTCTGCTTTCCCCCACCCTGGACATTGTTCCACAGATATATAAACCTCACCTGCCTAGTTTCCAACAGACCTCACAAACTCTGAGGATGCCTGCCATAGATGCAGGTGAAACATCAGGAGAGAATGCTTCTGAACATGACCGGACAGCACAAAAAACTCACAACAACCCAGTCATTGTCGAAGGCTTTCATGGCCGGGATCACTGGTTTGTTGTAGGTTTTTTGGGGCTATATGGCCATATTCTAAAGGCATTCTCTCCTGACGTTTCGCCTGCATCTTTGGCAAGCATCCTCAGAGGTAGTGAGGTCTGTTGGGACTAGGAAAAAGGGTTTATACATCTGTGGAATGACCAGGGTGGGACAAAGAACTCTTGTCTGCTGGAGGGAAGTGTGAATGTTTCAACTGACCACCTTGATTAGCATTTAATGTCCTGGCAGTGCCTGGGGCAGTCTTTTGTTGAGAGGTGATTAGATGTGCCTGATTGTTTCTTCTCTGTTGTTTTGCTGTTGTAATTTTAGAGTATTTTTTTTAATACTGGTAGCCATATTTTGTTCATTTTCATGGTTTCCTCCTTTCTGTTGAAATTGTCCACATGCTTGTGGATTTCAGTGGCTTCTCTGTGTAGCCTGACATGGTGGTTGTGAGAGTGGTCCAGCATCTCTGTGTTCTCAAATAACATGCTGTGTCCAGGTTGGTTCCTATGGCTGATTTCTCTGGCTGAAGTACTTTCTCTGCTCTTGCCTCCTCTGCTGGTTTTTCCTTTCATTTTTCCTGAGTTGTTCAGGATTTGGGATTCTTTGCTAACTAACGACATGAATCAGAACAAAGGCCTCATTATATTTTTGGTCAGGTCTGAGTTTCTTCTAATGTTTCCTTTGCACTCTCCTGGTCTCCCTAGAGCGGAAAGAATAGATCCATCATCAAAATCTGCCTTTTCTTCCTTTGCCTAGCTTCACTCGTCTTGAGCAAGAGCGTGCACTATTTCTCAACGAAAGCCTGATTCATTGGCTTGCCAACGTGCAAATACCTTTAATAGTTTTTTTTTTGAGGAGTTACAGCACACAAGAGACTCATAGAATCATAGAATCAAAGAGTTTTGCCCTGCCAAAGACTGCATTCAACATGCCCTATGCTGTTTGGCCCATGGTCATTGTAGACCAAGCCTGGGCAATCTGGGCCCTACGGGTGTTTTGGGCATCAACTCAGGTTTAATCCTGAGATAGAATGATAGCATCCTAGAGTTGGGAGAGACCTCAAGGGCCATCCAGTCCGACCCCATTCTGCCAAAAACTTCTAAAACTACATTGAAAGCACCCCTGGCAGATGGCCATCCAGCCTCTGTTTCAAAGCCTCCATAGAAGGAGCCTCCACCACACTTCAGGGCAGAGAGTTCCACTGCTGAACAGTCATAGAATCATAGGATCAAAGAGTTGGAAGAGATTTCATGGGCAATCATCCAGTCCAACCCCATTCTGCCAAGAAGCAGGAATATTGCATTCAAAGCACCTCTGACAGATGGCCATCCAGCCTCTGTTTCAAAGCCTCCATAGAAGGAGCCTCCACCACACTTCAGGGCAGAGAGTTCCACTGCTGAACAGTCATAGAATCATAGGATCAAAGAGTTGGAAGAGATTTCATGGGCAATCATCCAGTCCAACCCCATTCTGCCAAGAAGCAGGAATATTGCATTCAAAGCACCCCTGGCAGATGGCCATCCAGCCTCTGTTTCAAAGCCTCCATAGAAGGAGCCTCCACCACACTCCGGGGCAGAGAGTTCCACTGCTGAACAGCTTTCACAGTCAGGAATCATAGAGTTGGAAGAGACCTCATGGGCAATCATCCAGTCCAACCCCATTCTGCCAAGAAGCAGGAATATTGCATTCAAAGCACCTCTGACAGATGGCCATCCAGCCTCTGTTTCAAAGCTTCCAAAGAAGGAACCTCCACCACACTCCCTCCGGGGCAGAGAGTTCCACTGCTGAACGGCTCTCACAGTCAGGAAGTTCTTCCTCATGTTCAGATGGAATCTCCTTTCTTGTAGTTTGAAGCCTTTGTTCCACGTCCTAGTCTCCAGGGAAGCAGAAAACATAACATATTTGTCTTTAGACTATAATACATTTAACTTAGTCTATAAGGCATATGGCAGGGTTGTATCATCTCCCGCAACCTATTCAACTTGTATGCATAACACATCATGCGATGTGCGGGGCTTGACGAATGCAAGGCAGGGGTGAAAATTACTGGAAGAAACATTAACAACCTTAGATATGCAGATGACACCACTTTGATGGCTATCATATCTCCTCTGAGCCCTCTCTTCTTCAGGCTAAACATGCCCAGCTCCTTAAGCCGCTCCTCATAGGGCTTGTTCTCCAGACCCTTGATCATTTTAGTCGCCCCCCTCTGGACACATTCCAGCTTGTCAATATCTCTCTTGAATTGTGGTGCCCAGAATTGGACTCAATATTCCAGGTGTGGTCTAACCAAAGCAGAATAGAGCATGGGGAGCATGACTTCCCTAGAATATTCAACAGAATATTCCTATAAAAGTCTAATAATGCTCAAATTGTGGCAGACCTGAGGAGTCTGGTTCACCTGCTATGCTTTGCTCCATGGGAAGGAGAGAAATAGTGTACCTATAGAGAGTAGTGGATTTGCACAGGAGCAGTCTGGCCACTTTGGGGCTTCTTTCTCAAGGGAAGAGGAAGAAATGCGCCTTTGGAGTCTTAGATTTTGTGCAGGGAGTCAGGTTCTGCTGTGTGGAAACAGAGATCTGGTCCTCGGCATTGTTCTTAGGGAAAGACGTTTTGGTGTTATGGAAGTTTTGGAACTATGCATTGGCAGGCTGCAGGAAATCAGGGTCTGGTCTGAGGGGTGCTTCTCAAGGAGGGAGAACAGGATATGGTGATATTTGGATGTATGTGGATGAATGCATTAGGCCTGGGTAACAACGGAAAAATTTGTTTCTAAAATCGATTCGTTTTTGGGGTTTTTTTGCGTTTCGTTATTTAAAATAATTACAAAATTTTCCTTTTAAAAAGTTCGATATTTACAAAATTTCGTAAATGTGAAAAAAAATTACAAAACATTAACGAATCGATTTCCAAAACAAGAACGAATCGATTCGTTAATGGCGGACGCGACCGCGAAATACGCTAAAAAACCTCCAAAAACTTCTGAAGCTTCCCTCTCCCTCTGTTGTTGACTGTTGGTGTGATATTATAATTTTTTTCACTAATTAAACAAAAAACTTGCCCCAGACATGCGGAAATAATAACGAAACGACCTCAGAACAATAACGAAACGAATACAATAACGAAATACGAAGCATTTACAAAACGTGTTTAAAAATTCGTTTTTTAAAAAAATTGCTCCAGAATGGTTCATTATCGTTTTGTAATTTAAAAAATTAACGAATTATTAACGAATTACGAATTAACGAAACGAAACTGCCCAGCCCTAGAATGCATGTATATG